TAAGTCTTCCAATGGTGCTGGAACAACTGAATATTAAAAGCAAAAGAATGAAGTTGAACCCTTTCCTCACACTACACACAAAAATCAGCTCAGATGGATTGTAGACCTAAATGCAAGTGCTAAAACTATAAAACTCTAAAAAGAAAATATAGAAATAAATCTTTGTGATTTGGGGATAAGCAAACACTTCAAAGGTATGACACCAACAGCACAATTGACAAAAGAAAAAAAATAGGTAAGTTGGACTTTACAAAAATTAAAAACATCGGTGCTTCAAAGGACATCATCAAGAAAAAGAAAAGACAACCCATAGAATGGGAGAAAATATTTGCAAATCATATATTTGATAATGGAGTGATATCTAAAATATGCACATATTTTTAAACTCATACAACTCAGTTAATAAAAAGACCAATAACCCAATTAGAAATGGACAAAGGATATGAACAGACATTTCTCCAAAGATATATAAATGACTAAGTGCAAATGAAATGATGCTCAACATTTTGCAGGCATACTCGTAACGCAGAGAAATTCAACATTAGTCATTAGGGAACTGCAAATCAAAACCACAATGAGCTGCCACTTCACAACCATGAGGATGTGTTAAGAAAACAGATAATGACAAGTACTGACAAGGATGTGAAGAAATTGAAACCTTTATATGCTACTGGTGGAGATGTAAAATGGTATATCCAGTTTAAAACAGTCTGGCAGTTTGTCAAAAGATTAACATAGCATTATTACATGACCTAGCAATTCTGCCCAAGAGAGATAAAAACATGTCCACAAAAAATCTTGGACATGTATGTTTATAATAGCATTATTTATAATGCCCAAAAGGTGGAAACAACTGCAATATCCACTAACTAATGAATGAATAAATAAAATGTGTATATCCATACAATGTAATATTACCCAATAATTTACAAAGAATAAAGAATTGATGCATGTTACAACATAGATGAATCTTAAAAACATTGTTAAGTAAAAAAAATGATTCAAAAGACCTCATGATTGCCTTTATGTGAAATGTCCAGCATAGGTAATTCTGTAGTCATGGAAAGTAGATGAGTGGCTGCCCAGAGCTGCTGAGAAGTTGGGATAAAGGGAGAACGCTTCCTGGGTTGAATGGATATGAGGTTCTTTGGGGGATGATAAAAATGTCCTAAAGCTGATGGTGAGGATGGTTGCACAAATCTATGAATATCCTTAAAAACCATTGAAATGTATCCTTTAAGTCAGTGAAATATATAATATGTGAACTATCTCTCGATGAAGCTATAGATAGATGATAGACAGATCCAGGAATTTAGAAAATTTCCAATGTTTTAGGAATTAGGAAAGTTAGATCTCAGCCCCCTGTTTACAACATAAGAGATAAAGTGAGTAATAACAGTCTGTACATGTGAGTAGGAAAAACTCTTCCTCATGTGTGTTCCTTTACTACTCACGCAGAACACTTTACTTCTGACACTTCTGATCACCAAAGTTGTGGGTGTTTTCTCCAAAAAAAGCAATTCTCTATGATATCAGCTGGGTGTCCCATAATTCAACTCACTTCTGACACTACCTGCCTGGAGTTAGCATCAGAGCTCACAAGTTAAGTGCTCAGTCCCACAAGACTGTACTGCATGCCCCGACTCCAGATGCCACTCACAAGTCCCAGGTTGTCACCTGTACTTCTGACAGGCTAGATATAAATTCAGGTTCCCATGATCCTCTTCTGGGGCTCAGTAATTTGCTAGAATGGCTCACAGAACTTAGGGAAATTTTTTAATTTATCAGATTATATAATAATAGATGTAATAAAGGATACAAATGAACAGCCAGGTGAAGAGATACATAAGAAGAAATCTAGGAGGGGCCTGAGCACAGAAGGTCTGTCCCTGTGGAATTGGGGTACATCACCCTCCTGGTACGTATGTACATTCACCAACCTGGAAGCTCTCCAAATCCCACACTATTGTCATTCTTATGGAAGCTTTATCACATAGGCATGATCAATTAATAACTTCATATTCAGCTTCTCTCCCCTCTCTGGAGAATGGGAGTTAGGACTAAAAATTCCAAGCATCTAACCATGGCTACCCCCTATCCAGGAGCCACTCTTGAGCCCACCCAGAGCCACACAGGAAATTCCGAGGAATTTAGGAGTGCTGGTCAGAAACTCAGATCAAAGACCAAATATTAGAACAAATGATGCTCCTGGTGCTCTTGTCACTTAGGAAATCACAAGGGCTCAGGAGCTTGGAGGTGAAAGACTAGATATTGAAACAAATTCTCCTAGCACCTCTATTTAAAAGGGATTTAGGAGCTCTGTGTCAAGATCGGGGGGCAAGGACCAGTACAAGTATTTCTTATCATTTGGGATGATACCCAACCCCCTCACTTCCCTAAGAACTTCTCCCTGCTTTCTAATATGGAAATCTATCTTATCATGAGTTTGTCTTTTCTGGAAAATACAGAAGTAATTTCTTTGTTTCATCGCCTGGTGTCTGCCTGTCTGTCTCTCTCCTTCCCTTCATGCACAAGCATACCTTGTATTGTACTTTGCTTTATTGTGTGTCACGCTGTGTTTTTACAAATTGAAGACAAGACCCAGCAAGAAGATTACCACTCACTTGTTTGTGATACTGGCTTTATTGCTGTGGTCTGGAAACAAACCCGCACTGTCTCTGCAGCATGCCTGAATATAGGGACCCCTTCATCTTATAATTTATTCAGAAAACCCAGATCCAAAGAGTATGAATCCAAACAATGAATTTGTTAAGCCCATATCCTCAAAGTCATCATATTTAGTAGGCAGAATTTAGCCAAATATAAGGTAAAGTCTTGACTCAAGGATCAAACCACACTGCAGATAATTTACACACAATAATATGGTGTTCAAAAGAAGTTCAACCTATAATGTATAATCTCACCTTTTTAAAAAATGTAAACTTGGAGCCCCAGAGAGTAGAATCCATGTTTTATTCATCTTTGCCTTACAACCACCTCTGACACACAGCAGATGTTCTCCGAACATCTGAATGAAGGAAGGAATAATTAAAGAAATAAAATTGCTTTTAGTGGGGTTATGTTCTTGGCCCTGATCCAGATATGTCCAATTTTTCTAGTCTGGTAAAATCTTTTTGAATGCTGCCCAACATCTTTATTTCCATCATATTGCATCTAATTCTAATATGTGTCTTTTACACAATGCATCTCTTATGGGTAATTTATTTGGATAATTCAGTTATTTTTCCTGAAAAAAACAACAACAACGAAACACTGTGAAATCAATGGTTCATTTTTAATCACTGACATCTCAAGAGTTGAGGAAACCAACTTGCCAGAAATAACTTGCTATCAACATTCTGAGTCATGAGAAAATTTGAAAGGTGTACATGTAAGTCATTTTAAATTGTTAAGTAATGGAAAGACAGAACAATCTAACAGGGATAAATATAAAATCCTACACTGGGGTCCAAAAATTCAGCTTCACAGGTTCAAGATGAGGAATATGTGGCTCAAGAGCATTACAAGGTCAACAGATTTAGAAGTTTCAATTAACTGCAAACTTGATAAAAATCAATCATGTAACATAAGTAGGCAAAAAGCAATCCATGTGAATAGAGTTTCCAGCTCAAGTTAGCCCTGTCTTCTCCATTTCTTTCTGCCCTCTAACAAAGCACTGGGATACTTCTGCCCACACCACTTGAAAAATAAGCCATGCCCACAAGCATGCAATCAGAATGAAGAGCATATTGAAACCTTTATCATACAAAAAATAGTCAAAGGAATCTGAGTTGCTTGTACCTCTAATGACTGAAAGGGCAGCATGTCTCCCCATAGTTGAGTGTCTTGTGGAAAATTATTTTGGAGTTGAATTAGAACTGATGAGTGGAAGTTATCAGAGATAAGTTAAACCATACTGCTCCTCAAGAATGGATTGAGCTGCCTCTCAAACCAGCTACTCATCTCCGGAGGTGCTTACACAAAAAGTAGATGACATCCTGTAAGGCACAGTAGCCAGCCTCTTAGATGCCCCCCAAATCCATAGCTCCTGGTATTTGTGCCTTTGTGTCATCCTCTCCTTGATGGAGGGCTGGACCTAATGACTTATAATGAATAGAATTAGGCAGTATGCTGGTGTATGACTTAGGGCAAGGTCATAAAAAGGTGGGCAAGGTGGCACCATTCTCTTTTTCTTGTATCACTTGCTCTGGGAGAAGTCAGCTATCAAGTATTGAGCAGCTCTATGGAGAAGCCCACATGATGAACTGAAGGTTTCTTGTCAATAGCCACATGACTGAAGTTGAAGTGAGTCATCTAGACTTAGTCAAACCTTAAGGTGACTACATCCCCAGCCAACAGTTTGACTGCAGCCTCATGAGAGATCCTGAGTTGGGACCACCTAGTTAAGCCTCTCCAGGGTTCCTGATGCTCTGAAACTGTGTGAGGTAATAATTGTTTTAAGTTGCTAAATTTTGGGGAAATTTATTATGCAGCCACAGGCAACAAATACAGACATGTTATGGATGGTTCAGGTATTTTGTTGAACTACTTTGTCATTTATGGTCCCTTTGGCTTTGGGAATCTATGATCAGGTATAAGATGATGTATTTGCCTACAAGATTATTTCCCTATGGGGACCTTTTTTTAAAAGACTTCCTTCCTTCCTTCCTTCCTTCCTTCCTTCCTTCCTTCCTTCCTTCCTTCCTTCCTTCCTCTCCCCCACCTCTCTTTTTTAAAAAAGATTTTATCTACTCATTTTTACAGGGGAAGGGAGGGAGTCCCCCACTGGGGTCTCACCTACAACCCAGGCACACACCCAACCAGAATTGAACCAGTGCCACCCACCCCTGGCAGGCCGATGACACTCAATCCACTGAGCCACACCAGTTAGGGCTCCCTATGGGGACTTAATGATAAACAGATGAAAAGAAATTGCCATTGATATGCATTATTTGGGGGCTGCAGAAATAGCTTTGTTATGTAGAACCTTACCTTAGTTGTGGTAACAATCATACCTCTATAAAGGTTGTATTAGCTGAAAGGTGTGGCAGGGAAGACTCCAGTCTCGGAAGGCTCTGAGATTCTAGAATTGAGAAGGGGCATTGATTAGAAAACTTGGACACATAAAAACCATTCAAAGAATCCTGAGCATCACTCCAGTTCCCTGCTTACTTCTTCTATGCTCCTTGCTCTATCTGAATCTATTTTTGGTTACCTGGTCCTGAGATGCCCCCCTCATTATTTCAACATACTTCTTTCAACGATTGACTTCTGGCAAAGATGGACGCATAGGTAGATACACACAACCAAAAGAAGTACAACAAATTTAAAAACAAAAAGCAACCAGAACTGCCAGAAAATCAAACTGTATGGAAATCCGACAACCAAGGAGTTAAAGAAATATCCATCCAGAACAGTAGGAGAGGTGAAGACAGGCAGTAGGGGTGGAAAGGACACCTAGCAAGGCCATGGCTAGAGGACTGGGTAGCAGCAGCTGGCAGACCAGGAAGTCCCACATTTGCATGTAGATAAACTGGGAGGAACAACTGGGGAGCAAGACAGATCACACAATCCGGGGTCCAAACATGTAGAAATAAAGCCTCAAAACCTCTAACTGTAAAAACCTGTGAGGGTTGTGGCAGCAACAAAACTCCCAGCCTCACAGGAGAGTTCATTAGAGAGACTCACAGGGTCCTAAATGTACACAAAACCACCCACCAGGAATTAGCACCAGGAGGGCCCAATTTGCTTGTGGGTGGTGGAGAAAGTGACTGAAAGCCAGACAAGAACTGAGCAAGAGGCACTGTTCCCTCTCAGGCCCCTCCCCAACATACAGCACCACAAGCAGCCAAGTGGATTGCCCCACCCTGGTGAATACCTAAGGCTCTGCCCCTTACTATAGATCTGCCAAAACAAACCAAAAAAATGGCCCAAATGAAAGAACAGATCAAAGCTCCAGAAAAAATACAACTAAGCAACGAAGACATAGCCAACCTATGAGATACACAGTTCAAAATACTGGTGATCAGGATGCTCACAGAATTGGCTGTATATGTGTTGGAGACCATTCTGCCTGGTTTTAGGAATTGTATCTCGACCCCTTGTGGCTAAGGGCGAGGATGACCTTTGGAATGCCAGCCACAGGAGACAAAGCTTGTCTCTGGTAGCAAACGCTGCCTCAGTCTCTTCTCCCTGCCCCCAAAGCTTGGTCAGAAGTCAATTACGGGTAAGACCCCTCACGGTGGGGGGCAACCTAAGCCAGATTCGATCACTTGGGAGGCCTTCATGGAAGGACTTGAGGGGCTGCAACAAAGAGCAATGGACTCTCACCCCCCGGCTTTGACATAGCCCAAGTCCCCATGTTCTCTGGGAGAAGCACTTCCTGAAGTGCTTGATTCAGATTCCTTCCAACATCTGATCAAGGATGCCAGAAGGAGAAGAAGAAGAGCAACAAGTGGAAAAGTTATTTGAACAAATAATAAAAAAGAATTTCCCCAATCTGGCAAAGGCAATAGACTTCCAGGAAGTCTGGGAAGCTCAGAGAGTCCCAAAGAAGTTGGACCCAAGGAAGCACACATCAAGGCATATCATAATTACATTAGCCAAGATGAAAAATAAGGAGAGAATTTTTAAAGCAGCAAGAGAAAAGGAGACAGTTACCTAAAAAGGAGTTCCCATAAGACTATCAGTTGATTTCTCAAAAGAAACCTTACAGTCAAGAAAGGGCTAGAAAGAAGTATTCCAAGTCATGAAAGGCAAGGACCTACATCCAAGATTACTCTGTCCCCCAAGCTATCATTTAGAATGGAAGGGCAAATAAAGTGCTTCCTAGATAAGGTCAAGTTAAAGGAGTTCATAACTGCCAAGCCCTTATTAGATAAAATGTTAAAGGGACTTATCTAAGAAAAAGAAGATAAAAAATATAAACAGTAAAATGACAACAAACACACCACTATCAACAACTGAACCTAAAACAAAAACAAACTAAGCAAACAGCTAGAATAAGAATACAATCACATAAATGGAGATCACGTGGAGGGTTATCAGCTGGGAGGGAGAGGGGGGAAGGGGGAAAAGGTACAGAAAATAAGAAGCTTAAATGGTAGGTACAAAAGAGACAGGGGGAGGTTAAGAATAGTATAGGAAAGGGAGAAGCCAAAGAACTTATACGTATGACCCATGAGCATAACTAAGGGGGGATGGGGCAGAAATGACAGTGGGAGGGGGTACAGGGCAGAGGGGAATAAAGGGGGGAAATGGGACAATGGTAATCGCATAATCAATAAAATATATTTTTAAAAAAGAATCTATTGTGGTAGATTTTATTATTATTACCCTTTAATGGAGGACCCTGACTTTGTTTATCAATTCCAATGCTCCTCCCATTTCTGACTAGCAGGTCTCTATTCTTAGTATCCTTTTTATAGGTAGACTCATCAACCAAATCAAGTCTACAGTTTCTTAACTCTTGGTTCCACCATTGCATCTCCACCAACCTAGGCCTGACTGACTCACCTAGGATTGCTTAGGTGTAGGCTTTGTTCCACCTAGCACCTGTGCTCTCGCTTCTGATTTGCCAGATCTTAAGGGTCATTATCCACTCCTGACAATGTTCTAGGCCTAGGAAGCTTCCCATTCATCCAACATCCCAGCCCATCCTCTCCCTCCTTGCTGCCCTAGTCGTAGCATATGGCCTCAGACATGCGCAAAGGTATCAGTAAATTTTTGAAGTCTTTTTTGGCTGGTTTCAGAGTCATGTCTTATTTTGAACACTCTCTGGTGGGGCATCCATTAAAGCTCATTCTGTCCTGGAAACCTAGATTTTCATGATTTCCACTCTACACCTTGTTGTATACATTAGACCTTTCTTTTACTTATCATATTAAGTGACTATCTAAGGTCTTCTCCCTGACAGTGTAACATTGAAACAATCTTTGGAGATTCATTTTAACCATTCGTTTATAAAATTTTATATATGATCTTTGTGATATGGCACTAGGGATTGCCCCTAAGACTTTAAATACAACTTTAATAAAGTAGCGGGTTTTTTGTTGTCATTGTTTTTAGAGTACAGAGATGGGGCAGAATAGAGTCTGAAGAAATAGTTACTATTTTAAACATGTTAATAAATGATCTACTTGAAAGTAACTAATTCATGAATCTACCTGGGCAACATCTATAGGATTCATGATTTCACACCTGACATTTTTCTGCTGTACTCCAATATTAGGAAAGCAACAGAATGTGAACAACCAGCAAGTAAACCGGATAAATGCCTGTTTTCCTAAAGACCCTTGAACAAACTTCGGTACAAACCAGTGCCAACAGTTACATTAAAGGTAGATGAGAGGACTCTGCCAAGATGGAGGCGTAGGTGGAAACACTTTGCTTCCTTGCACAACCAAATCTAAAAACAATAAAGTTTTAACAACAATAAATGCAACCAAACCACGCAGAAAATCGAACAATACGGAGTCCGAAAATAATGAACCGCTCAGCTAAACCGGTAAGAGGGGCGAAGCCAGCAGTGGAGCAGGTCGGGCAAAAAAGATCCCCCAACCTGGGAGGTGCACAGGCAGCTGAGGGCACAGATCCCTGGTGTGGGGTAGCTACGGGCGGAGCCAGGAAAGGCACAGCACAGCTGGCTGTCTGCGGTTGCACATTTGCGCACAGATAAACCAGTGAAGAGATGTGCATTGAGACAGACCGTGCAGGCCCCAGTGTAGGGCAGCGGACTCGCACATTTGCGCTCAGATAAACAGGCAGGGGCGAGCGGAGAGGATCGCCATTGCCCCCTCTCTGACTTGGCCCCCACATACAGCATCACAAACCAGAAACCTGGGTGGCCCCGCCCTGGTGAACACCTAAGGTGCCTCTCCTCATACGTAATAGGCAAAAACAGATAAAAACATGGCTCAAGAACAATTCAGAGCCCCAGAGCCGATAAATCTAAGCAACGAAGAAATAGCCAAACTTTCAGATGCACAGTTCAAAACATTGGTGATCAGGATGCTCACAGAACTGGTTGATTTTAGTCACAAATTAGAGGAATATATGAAGGCTAAACTAATTAAAATGAAGGGAAATGCACAGGAAAAGGTAGTAAGGTAGTAAGGTAGTAATTGGCATTACTACCAATAGTAATGGAAAGGAGACTGAGACTCAAATCAAGGGAGCAGGCCAGAAGGAAGGAAAAAATGACCAAAGAGAAAAATATGAAGAAACAAGAATTCAAAAAAATGAGGAGAGGCTTAGGAACCTCCAGGACATCTTTAAACGTTCCAACATCCAAATTATAGGAGTACCAGAAGGGGAAGAGGAACAGTCATGAGTGGAAAACTTATTTGAACAAATAATAAAAGAGAACTTCCCCATTCTGGCAAAGGAAATAGACTTCCAGGAAATCCAGGAAGCTCAGAGAGTCCCAAAGAAGTTGGACCCAAGAAGGAACACACCAAGGCACATCATAATTATATTAGTCAAGATTAAAATGAAGGAGAGAATCCTAGAAGCAGCAAGAGATAAGGGGACAGTCACCTACAAAGGACTTCCCATCACACTGTCAGAGGATTTCTCAAAAGAGACCTTACAGGCAAGAAGGGGCTGGAAAGAAGTATTCCAAGTCATGAAAACCAAAGACCTACAACCAAGATTGCTCTAGCCATCAAAGCTTTCATTTAGAATGGAAGGACAGATAAAGTGCTTCTCAGATAAGATCAAATTCAAGAAGTTCATCATCACCAAGCCTTTATTATATGAAATGTTAAAGGGACTTACCTAAGAAAAAGAAGATAAAAAAAATGAACAATGAAAGGACAGCAATCTCACACTTATTAACAACCACACCTAAAACAAAAGCAAATTAAGAGGACAGCTAGATCAGGAACGGAAACATAGAAATGAAGATCACATGGAGGGTTAGCAACAGGGGAGTGGGAGAAGGAGAAGGGGGGAGAAGGTACAGAAAATAAGTAGCATAGACGGTAGATAGAAAATAGATAGGGGGGAGGGTAAGAATAGTAGGGGAAATACAGAATCTAAAGAACTTGAGACACATGTTCATGAACTAAAGGGGGGAATGGTGAGGGAGGGGTGTGCAGGGTGGAGGGGAATGAAGGGGGAAATAGAATAAATGTAATGGCATAATCAATAAAAATAAAAATATATATATTTTTAAAAGTAGATGAAAAAGAGTTATTTTGGATGTTTAGCACATTTTACTCAAGTAAAATGTGACTACCACTTCCCTGGCTGGTGTGGCTAGGTTGGTTGGAGCACCATCCCATAACCAAAAGGCTATGGAATTCCTTGTTCTGATATCTGCTTCCTGGTAACACTTTAGGAAACTCATTGATGCACCTCAGCATTCACTTTAGCATTTAATTCTTGCTCATACCACTTTCCCAAATTATGAGGAGCAGAAAGAAAGAAAACATTGTACTTAATAAACACAATAACAATGTGGGAAATAAATGCTTACTTTTAAAATTAGTTTTTAGCCCTGGCTGGCATAGCTCAGTAGATTGAGCGCGAGCCTGTGAACCACACGATCGCAGTTCGATTCCCAGTCAGGGCACATGCCTGGGTTGCAGGCCAGTTCCCGGCAGGGGACTCACAAGAGGCAACCATACATTGATGTTTCTCTCCTTCTCTCCTTCCCTTCCTCTCTAAAGATAAATAAATAAAATATTTAAAAAATAATAAAATTAGTTTTTAATTAATTTAATCAACATAAAAGAAATACAGTCTTGTTAAACAAGATTTTTTAAATGTAAAAAAAATAAATAAATTCGATTCCTGGTCAGGGGCACATACCTGGGTTGTGGGTTCAATTCCAATCTAGGCATGTCTGATTCCCAGTCTGGGGCGTATGGGAGGCAACCAATCAATGCTTCTCTTGCACAGATGTTTCTCTCTCTTCCTTCCTCTCTCTCTAAAAGCAATGAAAACATATCCTCTGGTGAGGACTTTAAAAAATTGTGACTAGTTCTGTCAGTCAAATAGATAATCAAAGACATCTTTTCTCCTTTTGATTCTGGTTGTTCAGATTCTGTTGCCTTCCTCATCAGTACAATTCACTGGGACTATATATAAAATCTGCAGAAACCTCAGTAATCAACAGGCAACTCCACAGCCTTTTAATTATATTGCTCTACCTTATTTTAGCACCTTATATTTCTCTACCACTTTACACCATAACATTCCTACACTGAATTCATTATGTAAAACAAAGTGTGGTGAAGAAAAGCAGTCATCAAACTTAGAAAGATCTGGGCATTTACACACACGAATCTTTCCAGTGGGCAGTTCAAAGGCAAAACATCTTGTCACAGAGTGGGGGAGTCAAACTGAAATGATGACTGTTCAGTGTCTCTCTTACTTTGGAGACCAAAGTGCATTTGATCCTTGTTCTGATACCTGCTTCCTGGTAACACTTTAGGGAGCTCATTGATGCATCTCAGGATCTACTTTAGCATTTAATTCTTGCTCATACCACTTTCCCAAACAATCATGAGGAGTATAAAGAAAGAAAATATTGTACTTAATAAACACAATGACACTGTGGGAAACTTACTTTTAAAAATAGCTTTTACTTCATTTAGTCAACATATAAGAAATACATTATCATTATATATGATTTTGAAAATGTCACAGAAATTAAAAATCATTTTTATAGCCCCAATCCAAAAGATAACCATTAATAATACTTCAGTGAATTTCCTTTGGAGCTTTTAGTAGTGCACATTTAAAAAAACAGCTTGTGCCCTGGGTGGTGTGGCCCAGTGGACTGAGCACTGGTCTGCAAACTGAAAGGTTGCAGGTTCCATTCCCAGTAAGGGCATGTGCCTCGGTTGCGGCCCAGTGCCCAGCTGGGGGTTGTGCAAGAGGCAATAGATTGATGTGTCTCTCACACATCAATGTTTCCCTCCCTCTCTTTCCCTTCCCTTCTCCTCTTTCTAACTAAATAAATAAAATCCTTAAAATAAATTTTAAAAAAGATTACTGTGATCACCCTATATGTATAGAATATATATATATACTTTTGTGTCCTATTTTCACTTCCAATTATAACTCAAGCAAATATGCATACTTTGAAAGTTGATGTGAACACAGGGTTTAGTAAAAATATGTGTTTCATTTAAATTAGAAGTCAAGATTATATTACTTTGAACATCATAAAACATATTTCTTCATCATTTCACCTCTCCCTTTTGCATTATTTAAGTTGAACACTGTATTTTTCCACATTTTGGAGAGTTTTATCTTTTTGGATGGTAAATATGATTGCTAGCAGTTATTATATTTTATGGCAAATTAAAAATGTTGCTTTAAATCTGTTAGCTTGCACTAGGCCTGACATTTATTTCATAGAATATTTTATTCAATTCATTAACATATTACCAAAGATCTACATTACCTTTAAAATAAAATAATTCTATTCTTATTATCATAGCCTCCTGTGAATCAATGATTTAAAAGCTCCAAAGCACAAATATTTATTAAACTCTTCAATGTTACAACAGTTTTCCTTCCATTCACCCATCCTGCAGTCCTGATATGACACCAAAAGGAGTAGTAATCCCGAATTAAGTTTTTCTTTTTAAAAACTGACAAAGGCTTGCTACGCCAGCATCAGCGACAGGAGGAGAAATGTCTCCAGTCTACTACACTCCCCTCCAAGCCAGGTTTTAATTTGTTGAGAAGGGGGGTAGGGGGGAAGCCTATAAAAATCTTGGCAAAACACAGAGCTGTTAATTTAATCAATTTTAGTAGTTAAGGCAGTGATTTCAAGTGCTAACACAATCTGTTGAAAACTAATTTCCAAGGTAGGGGAGACTCATTTATTTCTACTTTTTCTTCCCGGTTTCCCAGTCTAAGGGAATGAGCGTAGCCATCATGGAACCAATGAGAGACCGCCCCACCACCACCACCACCACACACCACAGTTTAGGAAGCTTAGTCTCTAACTCAAAGCCTAAAGTAGCAGAGAAATATACTCTCCTTTTCCCTGGAGAGGGTTTTTGAGATGGCAGTGAAGTAGACCTCAACTGATGTGGAAATATACACCTGCCTGAAAGTGGCCTAAGAACTAAAATTGTGTTGAACCACGAGAAAGAGCTGAGTGTCTTTTACACAGGAGGAGAGGAGTGGGGGTGGGAAAGGGAGAAGAGAAGGGATGCTCTCCCTCTCATCTGTGACTGAAGTCTTCCAGTTCTCAGTGCCTCTTGTCAATACATTTATTTTATAGTATAGTGGCACCATATTTTGATATATTAACAGATATGTTTCTAATTCCTGGTAGTTCCTTTATACCCTATTTAAAAAATAATACTTTGATGCATTGATTACCTTGGGGAAGGACTGTTAGAGTGGGAAAGGCTTTTTGAGTACAACAAGCCTGAACCCTGAAGCTTTCTGAGCATAGACAGTTGGGGAGATCTGTCGGTATCACCCTTGGGGCAAAATATAGTTTACCTGGACTGGAAGATCAAGAGAGAAAATCAAAGGAGAGAGTTCAGGGTCCTCCCCTGATTCATACCACCTGGTATAAGCAATCCAGGGGTAGAGGAACCTGTGTGCAGCCCAATAGAGCCCAGGAAGGTTTCAAGACACCATAGTCCTCTTTACCCATTATGTGAAGGTGCAGAAGAAATATGTGTCTTGGGTGGTGGGACAGGGGCAGCCTCAAAGCATTGCTTGTGCCTCAGTGTGGTGTAGGGAGAATCAAAATACTTTCTACACACCTAAGAGTAACACAGACTTTGGGCAGGGCTTAGACACTCCAACTAGTTCTTTGTAGTCTAGGAATGGTGAGGGAGCATGAAAGTAGGGGGAAAGTGTGTTTAGAGAGCCTCCTGCAGTCAGGAGGAGAGACAACAGAACAGCCACCTGGGCCAAAAACAGATGGGATGTGGAACATTTTAGCAGATGCCAACATGAGCTGATGAACAAGGACAAGACACTACCCATCCCCACCTTGATGCTGTGCCTCTCTCTACATGTCTCAAAGGAATAGAGCAGTGGGAACCCTAAACTAAGATTTTAGTATCTGTTACTCGGCAAAAATGACAAAAAGAGAGATTAAGTTGTAGAAAAATAAAGAAAGGTACATTTCTTATGAAACTGATTTGTATTTATTGAGATCTATGCAGTTACATGTACCCTATACAATTTCCAATAAATGCATACAATAGACCTAAATCCTTTTAAAAAAATGTCCTATATATTAGACTTTGAATTAGATTTGGACGTCATATATATATATATATATATATATATATATATATGAAGAAAAGAACAACTTTGTTGAATTCTAATCAATATCATTTTCAGATTAGAGTCACAGTTTTACCATATTTCTTTGCGAATGGGGGTAACAATTTTTCTTGCACTGCCTACTTACATTAACTGCTCAGTTGGTGGACTGTAATAATTTTTCTCAATTCCTGGGGCGAACTAACCCCAAATGTCACTACTATTGTCCACCTTTCATCAACTTCTATGTCTCTTCTATGCCTGGTGTCCTGGGAAAGGTTGTCAGAAATCATAGATTAGACAAACTGTAGGGGACCCCAGGGGAGCATTTACTTTAGTTCTTGCTTCCAAGCAGGCATGCAGATAAATCATTCAAGAAGAATGATTGTCTATTCTATTTTTTAGAGATTTTATTTATTTATTTTTAGAGGGGTGGGAAGGAGAAAGAGAGGGAAACATCAATGAGTGGTTGCCTCTCGCATGCCCCCTACTGGGGACCTGGCTCGTAACCCAGGCATGTGCCCTGACTGGGAATTGAACTGGTGACCCTTTGGTTCACAGGCTGGCTGTCAGTCCAGTGGGTCACACCAGCCAGAGCTGTCTATTCTATTTTTAAAGATCCCCAAGGAAGGCCGTCTCTAATAACCTGTTTCAATATATAATCTATATCTTGAGAAGGTTCTTACGTTTAGAAAACCCTAACCTAAACCCATCTCCTTTTGTTCTCTTTTATAGCACATTGTGATAAAAATACATTATATAGTTCTGTTGTAAAATAATGTTTGGGGCTTAAATGTTGGATTTTAGCTTAGAGACAGCATTTATTCTGCTAGAGATGTTTGACCCTTTTGGAAAGAGTTTCTGGCTTACATGAAGAGTTTATAAATTGCTTCTCAGAGGCGGGTTACCGACTGCTGAGTGGTGATTCTATGCTGAATGAGAAATAGTGGGGGTAGCTGGACTTCTCTGTGAAGAACTCTCTATCTCTCAAAAGCTGTTTGTATGGAGGTACTTTACAGGACCGGAGAGATTTCTTCAGTTATGTCAGCTGAGAGAAAGGAAGGAAGACACAAGAAGCCAAACCTGAGGCAGGACATCCCATTGCTTAGCGCACCCCCCAGCGGGGTACCTGATGGTAGTGACTATGATGGAAAAAACCAGAGGAGAGGTTTTGGTGGCAAAATATCTTCAAGTCCTGAAGTCCCTACATGAACCTTTGATAGGATATTACTCTAAGACAAGGATTTAAGATGAACTGCAATGAAATATTCCTTTCAAGCCTAGAAAGAAAACCAGAATAAGATTGCTAAGTGATAAATAAAGGTTAAAGGTTAGTGGATAATGAGTGAACTGTAATGAGGTGCTTTTGGGTTTTGTTTTTCCCACTGTTACGAATTACATGAGTGACACTGATACACATTAGCTTTGTAAAAAATCAAGTGTTAGAATTATAGCTAAAGTTTTCTTTGTCCGCCCCTCTCCCCATCCCATTAGTCTCCCTAAAGTAGGTTCATTCCTGTTTTGGGGAGAAGACTTTCTGCTTTCCTGGCCAGTGCAGCCCCTTCCTTCATCCTGGTGTAAGGCCGGATGATGGAGCAAATGGTGGGGCGAGTCAGTATTTCCTTTATTCTTAGACACTTACGCGTTCAAAAGAGAATCATTGAGTTTCTCAGGCCC